TGCTGCGCCTGCACCCCCCGAGCCGGAGCCCATGGAGGGACAGGGGCGAGCAAGAGCTGCCGGTGACCGCGGGGAGCTGAGCCCCGGCAATCGGAGCGGGGGGCAGGGGCCCTCCTGGAGCTGCCGCCCCCACCGTGCCCGGCGCTGACAGCCCCCGCCGGGGGGGACACATGGCTCCATGGTCCCATCCGGGGAGCAGCTCTCTTTTATTTATTCCGTCTGTTTTTAAATTAAAAACTGTGGTTATTAATTGATGGGGTCGGGGGAAAGGAGGGACTCTTCGGGGAGTACAGTTTTGCCGGATGTTTCTGAAATAATGTCAGCTTTTGCCCGGGTTTATTTTCCAGCTCGGGTGGTGCAGAGATGGAAAAAGATCTCTCTGTCAGCGAAAAAAAAAAAAAAAAAAAAAAAAAAAAAAAAAAAAAAAAAAAAAAGAAAAAAAAAAGAAAAAAAAAGAAAAAAAGAAAGAAAGGATAGGCAAAGCCAGAGAGGCAAGGGGGGGCAAGGCAGGCAGCGCAGGCCGCTGCGGAGAGGATGTGCGCGGCCGCGGAGAGGTTTTGCTTGGGGGCTGAGAACTTTCCCCTTAGAAAAGGAGAAGGATCCCCATGCTCTGACCACCGTGTGCGAGGGCTACAGGAAACGCTGTGCTCTCTCAGATTGCATTTAATTAAAATAACAACATTTTCAGAATGACAAGGGAAAGGTAGAAAAGAGGAACAAAAGCTTCAAGAAGAAGCGTGATATTCCTTCTCCAGCAAGACTGTTTCAGAGAGAGTTTATGTTTTATATAATTTTAATTTTCTAATAGCTATTGTCGCTCTTCGGAGTTTTAACCTAGAGTGGCTGTGTAAGAGTCAGTCCCAAAGTGGCACTCGGTGATAAAGAGGGTTTGGGTTGTGCCTCCCGGCCTGATTCGCAAACAAAGTTAGGGACCGGCGTCTGGAAGGGACACTGAGATTAGAGGGGATTATTGGAGATTAGAGAGGGAGATTTGCTCCATTTTGCCCTACCCCTGTGTGTGACCCCTCGGTGCTGCCGGAGGGCTGAGGAGCTGCCTGCTTTCCTTCTCCAAGAACCTGCAAAATACCTTCAGGTTTTTTATTTTTTTTTTTAATGGGAAAAATAGTTACAAAATCCGATTAAAGATGCCTTACGATTTGGAATTGTATCACAGCCCTGCGGTGAGGCCGGATTTTTAGGGAAGCCCGGGAGAGGGGCGAGGGGAGCACTGCCAAAGCCCATCGGTACCTCTGGCTCTTCCTGATCGCCCCCCGCTCCCTCCCGGCGCGGTTTATCCGAGCTGTTCGCAGCCCGGAGCGGGAGGATTTGTTTTGGTGGGGATATTTTTGTTTCTGTTTCGCCGCCGGGCCATGCGGCTCTGCCGGCCTGGGGACCGGCGGTCCCGGGGCCATGGGCTCTGTGCTGAGAGGCCTTGCTTGCCCTGCAAACCTCGCAGGGCCATCGGCCCCTTCTGCGGGTCGGCTGAGCAGCTGAGGCTCGCTCGCACCCTCACCCTTTGCCTGTGAAGGATTCCCAGCAAGGTGCGATTCAAGGGTGACTTTGCAAGGACGGGTCCTCCCGGGCTCTGCATTCAGCGTGCAATTATTTTTAGATTCGCGCTTACCTCGCAGAGGTCGGGGCTTTAGAAATGCCCCCGGGCCCGCCGGCGGGGAGGGAAAACGCTCTGAAAGAGGGTTAAAAACACCACAAACGCTTAAAAGGAGGAGGAAAAAATTGTCTAAAGGAGAAGCTGGCCGCGGTTTCCTGCAGCAGCAGCAGGACCGAGGCCGGGGGGTGCCGGGGCCCAGCCCGGGAGCGCTTTGGTTCAGGGCCTTCAGTCCCTCCCCGAGCGCTTAAACCGGGACAAACCGGGCTCAAAGCGGACTGGGAGAGCCAGAGAGCCCCTTACCAAAGGGGAGAGGGGGTTCGCAGGGCCGGTGTTGAATTCCTGCTCCCAGCCCGCGCAAATCCCGGCCGAGAAAACCCTCCTGGATGGTTTTTTCTTCCCCTCCTCAGAAATGATTTTTGCGGAGGGCTTTGCTCAGCCCCGTGTTAAAATAAACACCAAAATCCTAAAAGATCAAGAATAAAATAATTATGAAAAGATAATGAAGTGAGGGAGGGAAGAGGGGCCTTTTGCAATTAATTGCTCATGGGTTTTCCACCTCTGCCCTTCCAAATTTTCCCGTCGTGGCCGGGCACGACAAAGACAATGGAGCAAAGATCGCACCTTGGTTTGGAGGGAGCGAGAAGGTGCCGTAGAAAGGCAGAGCGGCCGGTGATAGCGGACCTCGCTCCCCTCGAATGCAGTCACCCTCCGGGCCCCTCTCCAGCCGCTCCGGGGCTCCGTCCTGCCCGGCCCGGCCCGGCTCCGTGCTCCTTCCCCAGGCGCCCGGGGAAAGGCGGCTTTGGGCTGCGGGGGCTCGCTGTGCTCAGCACGGCTCCCGAGCATCCCTCCGCCAGGGGTGGGCAGCGCTGGGTGCGGGGCTGTCTGCCTTTGTGTGCCTGTGTTGGGAAAAAAACTAAAGAAAAAAAAAAAGCAAAACAAAACAAAACAACAGCAACCATCCTCGACCCCCTCGCAGAAAAAGAACGTAGCGGAGAGCAGAAAAACGAGGACGGGGCCGCCGACGACCCGGCGAAGAAGAAGAAGCAGCGGCGGCAGCGGACCCACTTCACCAGCCAGCAGCTGCAGGAGCTGGAGGCCACCTTCCAGCGGAACCGCTACCCCGACATGAGCATGAGGGAGGAGATCGCCGTCTGGACCAACCTCACCGAGCCCCGAGTCCGGGTAAGAGGGGCTGCAGCCCTGCCGGGGGCGAACTCTGCTCTGGGGCCGCCGGAGCGCGGGGGGCTCGGGAAGCTGCGATGGTTTGCTCTGGGCTGGATTTTAATGACCAGAACTGGGATCCGGGCCGGAGAGGAGAAATGCAGCTCTCGGCCACGGGGAGATTCTGCCCGGAGCGGGTCGCGACCGTGGGCCTCGCACTGCGGAACGGTTCATAAAGTGCGGGGAGAGAGGTGCGGGGAGCAGCGAAAGGCCAGGGTGGGGAAGGGTCTGACTGTGCGGGGAAGAACCCTCCGGACCGGACAAAACGCGGCGCGGGGATGGAGCAAGGTCCCATCCGAGCAGCTTCCCCCTGCTCTGGTTATTCCCAGTAATCGCAGCGGCCATCTCCCAGCAAACCACCGCCCCTCGCTACTGCGGCACCGCGACGGCGAGATCCAACCCGCAGCGTGCGGCTCTCGGGCCGGCCCCTCCCGGCCGCGCATCTCCCAAGGCCGCCGGCTCTTTGTGGAAGCCGAAAGCGAAGGGCAGGGGCTGGGGAGCGGTCGCAAAGTCAATACGTGCTGAAGAAACAAACTTGTACCGCGAAGGAGCTCGAGTTTTACACGCGTCGGACCTCATGCCACCATATACATATAGCGTATATATATATAAAAATATATATATATATAAAAATAAATATATATATGTGAAATGGAGCGCGGGGACAGGTGGTGCGGGGCCTGCTCCGGCGTTCCGGGGGGAGCAGACTCTGGGCTGCGGATGCCTGCGCTGCCCTGCGCGCATCTGCGCACCGTCGGTGGGGTGCGGGGGCTGCTGTGACCCCGCACTCACCCACACGTGTCGCTCCCCCTCTCAGCCACGTTCGGTAATGTAGGTGCACACAGCGAGAAACGTGTGTGTGTATACATATATATATATATATATACATATATATGTATGTGTGTGAGTGTGTGTGTGCGCTTCGGCAGTTCCTTAAAGAGATTTAAGAGTGAAAGATCCTGGCAAAGAAGGACCGGGCCGAAGCGGTTCGGTCTCCAGCGATCTATCTCAAGTGCTTTTTTCCACCCGAGACATTTCCCCGCGCGGTTTCGGCAGTGGTCGCACACCAAGGGACCGTGGGCTGAAGCACCGGAGGAAACGGGAACTGCGGAGCGAAACCCCACCGCATGGAAAATCCACTTTTTCTTTTTTTCTTCTAGTTTTTTTTTTTGTTTTTAACTCGGCAATTAAACTTAGAGTGGCCAAATCGGATTACAGAGAATCTGCTTTAAACATTTAAAAAGTAAACACCCATCTGAAACAAATGCGTCTGAAAGCATTGTCTTAATTGAGTTTAAAACAAAACAAAGCCCGAGCATTAATACTGGTTGAATATTTCAGGGAGCAAATATAACTAAAATACGAGTTGCAATTAACATAATTTCGTTCTCATTCTGTGTGGAGATGTTTGGGTTTGATGTTCTGAGATGGCAGATTGCAAATCTAACCTTAATTTGCTATGAGGGCCTTCCTTTAAAATGTCTAGGAGCCATAATTAAAACTATTACCCTCATTTTCAGGAAATTCCTGTCTGGAAGCACCTTCCGAGGAGCATATTACAGGTTTTGAACATGTTGGCTTTCGTTTCCTATTTATACAACATTCTTTTTATTATTGTTATTTTTTAAAATAGACTCCGCCATCCGTTCCCCCACGGAGTTTCCATCCTTGAGCCCGGTATTTAATAATAGTTGTGCCATTTCTGCGCCGGGAGGGGAGGCCCCAGGAGCCTGTCCAGGGCCGGGGCCCCGCTGTTTTCAGGGAGCTCCTGGGCCCCGGCTCGCTAGGAGAAAGTCGGGATGCGGCGGGGAGGATGTTGTAAGGGAGCCTCTCAGGCAGAACGCAGAACGATGCAGATTTTAAACCAATTTTTAAAGATTTTTGGAGCTGCCCGGCTTCCATCACCGGGGACTCAAATGGTTTCCGAGGGATAGATATATATATTATATAAAAATAATAAGAGTGAGACTGGAACGGGTTTTTTGCATCGAACCTCAGGGCCAGCCCCTCTTCTCTGTTTCCCGGTTAGGGCTGTAAATTCTCATTAGATATAAAGGCACAGGCTGCATCCATCCGAGGGCGATGCGGGGATTGATTTTTTTTTTTTTTTTTTAAACCTAAACATACTAATCCAATCCCTTTTTTTATGATCTGTAACAGGGGACTTTTATTACACAGTATTAGCGTTCGGAAACGCGGCAGAGCCCGGGCGAGCCGGCCCTAATCAGAGCGGGCCGTCTCGTCGCTCCCCGCCTGGATCGGGAAAGGGGCGGCTGGGAGCCGGGACAGCCTGGAGGGGCTG